AACCTGCAGCTGCAGCCCACCCACCCCACCCTGCGCAGATCCAGGGGCACACGCCCCCCAAATGCCCTCCAGGGGTGCAAGCAGCCATGGAAAGCTGCCCCGGCGCCTCCTGGACAAACTGCGGCTCCGTCCTACACCCTACCCCGTCCTGGCTGGGCAGTCTGCTCCTGCTTCACTCCCTCTCTCACTGCAGGGGGTATTGATCTGCCCCCCTATGCCCCTTCTCTCCCTTCTCCCTTTCCACCACAACACAGTTACCAGCTGGATATAGCTGTATCAGAAATTGAGTCAGTATTGGCCAATATGCCTCCTTAAAAAATTGGCTATTGATATTGGCCCCCAAAATCTCTATTGGTGTACCCCTGGAAACGGACCTCAAAATCAGTCTGCCAGTAGTTATGCCCATTATTTATTTGCATTGAAAACAAGCTGTCCCATTTTATTTTACACAACTCTACCCTTACCAAGTACATCCAGCAGCTTTTGCTTTTTTAAAATTGGAATATGGCCTGTTATTGACTTCACAGAGAACAAATTCAAAAAGGCAAAAAAAAAAATACAGGTCTGGACCCATCAACAGTTCCTCACTTACATTTTTATTCACTTCTATCCTGAAAAACAAAAGTGAGTTTCTGTAAACTACTGCTTACTGTACCATTTGATATTGTAAGATAAACAGCAGAAGGAACAATATTGCATCAGTGTATATCTAGGAATTTAACCAGGGAGGGGACATCCCTGCTCAACTTCCTGGCTGGGAATGACACCTTTTCTTTTCTCACTGACCTCTGGCTGGGTGTATATGACACAGAACAGAAAGCAGAAGCTGAGGTTGTTTTATGCTGAGTACATTCTCTCTTACCCTCCCTACAACTGGCTGCTCATCAGCTCTTTATCCTTTTGGTCAAGGGTGGGCAATTATTTTGGGTGAAGGGCCACTTAACAAGTTTTGGTGAGCTGTCGAGAGCTGCAAAGGTAGCCTCGCCTATTGAGAGGCAGTGTAGCCGGGTGGCGGAGGTGACAGCAGCAGAGACACAGGACAGCCCCGCACAGGCTCCGTGTGGCTGCAGCACAGAACTGCCAGGCAGGGGAGGGGCCACTTTCTCCCCATGCTGAGCAACAGCTTTTGTCTCATGCTGCCGCTGCTGAGCCTGGGCAGGGAAGGCCAGTGCAGGCATGAGGCACGTTGGGTAGGGGCTCTGCAGTGTGGGTCTCCACCAATACCGTGGGGCTGGGGCCGGTAGCAGCAGCAGCTGGAAGGAGCCACATGCCACCTGGGCTGCCTAGAAAGGCAGTCCAGCTGCATAGCCACCCCAGCCCCACTGCATGCCTAGGGGGCAGCAGGACACATGGTGGCTGGACTGTGCCTGGGCCAAGTGGGACCAAGGGACCTGCCATGGGCCGGACAAAGACCCACTGTGGGCCAGATTCGGCCTGCAAGACATATTTTGTCCACCCCTGCTTTAGGTCTAATAGGCAGGAAGCTGTATGGCTGCTTAAATTGCACCCCCATGCCAATAGATGGCTCTCTGCTCTGTTTCTGGGGAGGCAGCAGTCTGCTGGGGTTCCAGCCTGCAGTTAGCTGAGCTCACTGCAGGGGCGATGCATAGTGGGTGCATGTGAACCCCCTAAGCGTGGCGGTGCACCCCCTACAAAAAGTGCCGCCGACACCGCTGCTCACCTCTCCCCCGCCGCCAACACTGCTGGCAGCATCTGCGGGAGCTCCCGCTACAGTGCCCCTCCAGCTGCTGGGGACACACATTGTTCATGGCTCATAGGACCTTGATCTGGGCAAGTCCACTGCCAGTTTCCCTCCTAGAAAGCAGGAGGGACAGCCCTCTATCCTACTTCCTTCAGCTGTGTGGGGATGGGGACCAAGAAAGGACATGGACACAGGGAGGGATAGCCATGGCACCAGAAGGGATACAGGTCTCAGGGGACAGCTATGGGGAAGCACAGGCAGAGCTGGCCTTAGGGGTGGACAACCTGGGCGAGAGCCCAGGTTGCTGTGGTCAGGGGGCGCCACCCACACATACACATGCATGCCCTGCCCTTCTCCACTGCTTATGCTGGGCAGGAGCCACCGGGGAACTTCATAAATGAGGGTAGAATGTTGTTCATTATGTATAAAAATAAGTACAGTAACATTAGTATGGACAAATTGTATAAACTAAAAGCAAAACTGTTAATTTGAATTTTCAGTGAAAATCTTCTCACCCCATTCTTAAAAATCATTTGTTTAAATAATCTAAGAATCTGTTTAGCTTCTCTATTTGCTCAACAAGTAAACTGCCAAAAGCCATGAAGAACATTTAAAAGAATTTCCAAACATGAGTAATACTCACCAGCTGTCACTCCAAATGTAATGAAGAGGTAATGCACATTTGAGGCATAGGCACTCAATATCCAGCCAGTGGCATTCACTATCCCTCCAATTATTGCTGTCTTCCGACACCCACAAGTGTTAATGAATAAACCAATAAAAGGACCTGTCAGAGAACATGAAGAAAATTTGCTAAATGACTTGTATAAACTCCTCTTTACATCTTTCATTATTACATGAAACCACTTAATTATTTTCAAATAAAATATTAAGCACTTAAGTTTAAACATTAGTAAATTAAACCATTAAATGCAATTTAAAAGTCTATTTCCTGGTAACCCTTTAATGCCCTGAGAGGTGAGATTCAGTTAACTCCTTTAGACAACTAGGAAATACCTCTGCCAAGACTTGCAATCAAAGTTATTTTTTTTTACTTGCAATTTTTTGTGATAATCAGGGATCCTGGTTTTCTCTCATAAAAAGTATCCCCAATTTTCAGTTTAAAAAAAGTAACCCATTAGCTTTCACCCATGATTAAAATGAAACACAATGAATATATAGATATTAAAATAATATCTACATATTAATTGTGTTTCATTTTAATCATGAAAAATGTGGATTTTGGGTTACTTTTTTTAAACCAAAAATTGTGGATTCTTTTTTTTTTTAATCAGAGAAAACCAGATTTCCTGGTGATGATAAAACTAAAATCTCTGGTCAGTGAAGTCTGCTTCATGCTGTTTTAACTAAACTAGACGGCAGGGTAGATACGCACCTTAGAGCCCCTCTACACAGGTAGTAAAGGGGCAATGAAATCCAATGCACAATCTACACAATTATGTCTCCTGTCATGCCACATTTGTATGGCAGGAGGCATGACTGTGGGATCATGAATTAGAGTCCATCAAGCCTTACTGCTGATACAGAGGGATCCTGATCCCAGGTACCCCTGGCACCAGCAAAAAGCAAGCTTCCACTAGGCCTGTGTGAAGCAGCTAGTATTCACTTCAGATTTGGATTTGGCCGATTCGGGGGACAGTGATTCCATTTGGTGATTCAAATCACTGTCCTAAATCAATTCAGCCAAATCTGATTCGGAGATTCGGCTACTGCTGAATCTCCACATCTCCAAATCAGCCAGGCCCATCCCACGCTCGCTCTCCCAGCCGGCAATGGCTGCCCTGCCTGCCCCAGCTCCAGGGCTTTTCTTTAAAGCACCAGGAGCTGGGGCAGGCGGGGGGGCTGGTAGGGGCCCCCCCCATGGTCCCCTCTCCCAGCCCCCCTCTCCCCTCCCCCTAGTACTTACCAGCTCAGAGTCAGCTGCAGCTCCCTGCCGCAGCCACCGGAGACTACCCAAATCATCAAAGCTCTTCGAATCTTTTCCGAAGATTCGGAGAGCTTTGAATCAATCTGGACCTTTAAATTGGTCTCCTGATTCGATTAGGATTCAGAGATTTGCCCACCGAATTGGGCCGAATCTCCTCCAAATCGAATGACCACCTGAAGCTTTGCACAGCCCTAGCTTCTGTGGCTGGGAGCTGATTCAGCTGAGGAGGCTCCCAGCCACAGGGGCACTCCATGCACCCCATGGCTGGGAGAGCATAGCTGCTGCAATATCCCAGTCAAGGGGGCACTCCACTGGGATCTCCAAGTCCTAGGGTTGTATGGAGTGCCACACAGCTGGGAGATCGCAGCAGCTGTGATCTCCCAGCCCCAGGGTATGGGGTGCTCCCACGGCTGGAAGACTGCAGCTGCTGTGATCTCTCAGCTGTGGAGGCACCCTACACACCTCAAGGCCCGGGAAATTGCAGCACTGCCCCATCACTTCCAGGACCTAAAGTCCTGCAGCTGTGGGTGATGGGTCCCAACAGCACCCTGTGGTGACAAGACCCAGAGTCCCACAGCTCCAGACGCTGTGTCCTGGCAGTGCCCTGGCTGCCATGGTTCCCCTGCTTTACCTATGGCAGGTTAGGGTGTTAGGTATGTGTTGTGTCAGGGTTGAAGGCAGTCTTATGTGACTTAGATTATGGATTGCATAGGAAGGTTTGAATAAAGATGATCCCACCTCAGGCAGGGGGTTCCACCAGATGACCTCTGGAGGTCCCTCCTAACCCTACTTCTATGATTCTATGACCCAGTGTCCACAGCTGCAGGACTCTGGGGCCTGGCAGTCATAGGGCACTGCTGGGGCTGAGAGTCCCCTCAGCTGCAGAACTCCCAGCCCCAGCTGCACATGGTGCACCCCTGCAGCTGGGAGCCTTGTCAGCTGATGGGGCTCCCAGCTATAGGGGCAGACCCCTATAAATTTACATGTGCAAATTAAAGCTGGATAGCAACCAGCTATAAAGTTAGTGCACATTTTCAAGGTCTAAATTTATAGCTGATTAGATCTATTTATAATGTAGCTGGTCTCAGTTAATTTTGCAATTAACCAGTTAACTGCAGAATAACTGTAACATGTAGAGGAGGCCTTACAGACCAATCAAAGTAGATGTGTATACACAGACACACGTACATATACACATATATATGCACAAGCTTTCAAAACTAAACTAGCCAAGTAACAGTCAGCAGAGAATTGCGTCTGCAGGTGAACTCTCTAGAGGAGAACCAGCAAAGCAGTGTTGCTGTGGTTACCCAGCTACCTGTCCCAGTTCATAGCATGGCAGGAGACAGATCAGTCTGGACAAGCCCAGCATACTCTCCTCCTTAGCAACTGTTCTCTGCCACTGTGAAATATGAGATATGGGCTAGATGGGTCTGTGGTCTACTATTTCTGTATGACATTTCTTATGTTCTTATACATGAGGAACTGTACAAAAAACAGTGGAAACACTGTTAGTAAAAGTATTTTGTCATATTCTGGTCTGTATGTTTGTGGACTGCCCGGTGCCTTGTATTATTTCATATTTGGAATGCCACGTCCCTTTTATTTTCTGTTATTTAACATCATATTTATAAATGTGTCAAATACCTGAGTAGTCTTTACTTGCACTTTCACATTAAAAGGGGTAGAAAAAATATCAGCTGTTTGATAACTAGAATATGGCACCTTATCTCAAAAGTACAAACCTAGTAAGTGCTTCCACAGGCATACACACAACGTGTAAACACATATACGTGGCTGGTAGAGGCCAAACTAGAATGGCTTCAGAAATCAATTTTCTGACTTTCAATGCACTGACCATGTTGCCTTTAATTAGCGCAGGTGGGAGCATTCCCTAGGTTGCCTAAGGATTAGTGACCGTGGCCACGTCTATAAGTGGTGTTACTGCGCAGTACCATTGCTGCACAGATTTTGCCCGATGCTACTGCACAGTAGCAATGAGCTATTGCACAGTAGCTTGTTACTACTGTGCAGTACCGTCAATGAACAGTTGGTGCCCAACACCAGCTCGTTGCTACTGCATTGTAGCTTCTCATGTAGATTCACCCACTGTCATCTTTTGCAGAGGCAGGTGATATATCCCACCACTCAGCAGTGCAATGGTTTGTTGTAAAATGGAAAAAGAACACAAAAAAGGCACAGCAAGTAAGTGATTGACCGCTGCTCTGAGAGCTCGAGTGACTAACAATTTAGGATATTAGCAATCTTTGTAACCTTGGAAATTACTTCAGTCCTAAATTATCTTCATTGTTGATTATTAATAATTCACAATATTTCAATGTTGCATCAACTTGTTTAATTTTTGCAGACCAAAGAGTAAACTGCCATCTTCTGGGGATTAGGAAGATAAGTGAAATCTGGAATACAGACCTGGGTCAAACTTTTTTTCTGTGGATTTTAGTCTTGTTTAAATAGGTCAGATCCTGCTCTGACTTAAGTATCTTGCCATCCCTTTGAAGTAGCACAAACTGCTCTGGGTTTAAATCTTGTCACGATTTGCTAAAATAGGTGCACCTGACTTGCACTAGCCTCCTTAGAAAATTTGTGTTATTTTGAGCAGAAAATACGGTTATCTTACTGGGATGAAATAAGATGTATTGGTTCCAGACACATCAGTATTTTGGGACCCCTCAAGGACTTTTCCCTTTAAACCACCTTTCTCTCTGGCAGACTTTTCCTTCTAATAACATCTTTCTCAGCCAAACACTAAATCTGATTCTGCCTTGCTTTGTACTTTATGATGTCATTTATACTTCTGTAAAAGTAGATGAAAAATATAAAGCAGGTGTAATAATGTCACAAACAGTAAATGTTTTCACAAGACATAATACAGTAAAGAATCAATACTTACCACAGTTCCTCTCAGTTAAACTAGACATGGGTGAAGTCTATTGTTTATTCACTGAAAATGCAGTTGTATTTGTACTGAATCTCTTCACAAATTCAGCCTGAATTTGACAATTAGTTTGGGCTTGAAAAAAAATATTCACATCCCCTGAAATCTGGGATGTGATGCCTAAATCCCAGTCACTGTGACAATGGCTATTTATTCATGTTAAGTGAAACAATATCAACTGGAGACTATCCTGCAGCTTGATAGTGTGGGCACTCTTTTGAAAGGTGAGAGATATGCATTCCTATACTTTCGAACAGAGGAGGGAGCTGAGTGTCTCCACAGTGCTAATGCAGTATGGATCAAGCCTGTAATTTCTTTGGCTTATTACAGGTGCCTGAAAACTAAAAATTCATTTTGTGTTGAATGGAATGTTTTAGAGCGACTTGAAACAATAATATATTGGTCTTCTTTTAATCTGCTTGATGAAAATGGTTTGTTTCAGGTCCAAACTCTTTTCCCTTCCAAATTTTTGGTAAAATTGCCAAACAGAAGACTCATTTATTTTCATACCTAGTCCAACCCTGTCACCTTCCTAATAGGCTGTGTCAAACTCAACCTTCCTGAATCAACTGTTGTTTTTCTCCCACTCCTGAGGAATTAATTATCTTGTCTACCAAGCAGCTTAATCAAACCCAGGCAGTTTGCTGGCACCATCCAGATGTATGTTATGCCATTACCCAGTGCTCTGCCTCCTACTCTCACTGTTGTTCCCACCAGCTTCACTGAAGTTCCCTGCCTTTTACTGCATCACTGATATAGTGGATGAAACAGCAGTTCAGAACACTCTACTACTCAGTTACACTATATGAATAACATTTGAAGCAAATACACGGGTGTTGGGATGATAAATATTTTCCAAAGCTAGACAGTTTTGGAATAACAGTACTGTATATTGGAACATACCTACAATCAATGTGATACCCATGCTAAGGGAGCTAACCCATGCAGTCAGTCCTCGACTTTGACTGAATTCTTCCAGCCATTCCATGTTGAGTATGCCAAGGGCCATTTGTGACCCCATGATGAGTATATGCACAAGGAAAGAAGAAAGGACAATCATCCAGGCCCATCCACCATCAATGTTTGAATTAGGTTTAATCGTCTTCTTATTATCTTTTGAGTCATCTTCTTGAATATCTTCTCGACTGCTGTACATTTTCTCCACAGTATTCTGAAACATACATAACAAATTATTTCAAACCATACAGAAAATAGACAAAGGTTTGTGGTTTTGTTGTTATTATTTGCTGTTAATTATTTTCCAGAAATTTGTTGGAGGTAATTTTTCAATCCACTTTCCTCACTTTTTCCTACATTTGTTTGGGTTCTCACATACAAGAACAATATGAGGATCCCAGGAGAGCATGAATGCACCCACAGCACTAACTTCACCTGTAGAAATAGGTAAAAAAGCCTCAAGCTTAAAACTGTGTTACCAGAGCTGATATAAGAATAAGAGTTACATAAATGTTTCAGGGATGTACTTGGTAGCCGTGTCGGTCTGAGACAAAAAGACACACAAAAAACTAGAACTCTTGGTTCCAAAATTATATCTTTTATTAAACCAACTGGAAAATAGCAAGAAAATTCTGCTTTCAAGAAAAGGACAATTTTCTTGCCATTTTCCAGTTGGTCTAATAAAAGATACAATTTTGGCACCAAGAATTCTAGTTTTTTGTATGTCTTTTTGTCTCAAACCAACACAGCTACCAAGTACACCCCTGAAACATGGAAGATGCCAAATTTTAGCCCATTTTGGATTTTAAGCTTCATTGCAGAATGACAAGGAAGTTTTTTTTACCTCCCTGCCTGCCATCTGACACCTCCAGGGAAGGGATTCTACCTGATCAACAAATCAAATTGCTACTCAACACAGCTCACAAAGACACACTCATGGACACAGAGGGACAGCCTTCCATCTTCAGCTCCCTCTGTGCAAAACTGAGGTTTATTTCCTACCTATGGGGACTTTTTACCATCTTGTACCATCTGTACACTTTTCCCAGAGCCTGATGAAGGGACTTTGACCCCAAAAGCTTGCAGAAAAGAACAATTTTCTTGCCATTTTCCAGTTGGTCTTAAAAAAGGTATAATTTTCGAAACAAGAGTTCTAGTTTTTTGTACATAAATGTTTCTACATTTTTGCAATGTTTTCCAAATTTTTTAAATTAAAAAAAATACAAGCTAGATCTATCATTCCAAAACTGGCAGAGAGATTTTCAAAATATTTCATCAACATTTTTTTCTCATTTATCTAGTAGTTTGGGCTGTTTAGTTTTTAATTTTTAAATTGGAATAAAATTTCAAATATCTAAAATGTTTTAGTAGGATGCCAGTTTTTCATTTAATTTTAAATGTAAGATGATTGGAAAACTGTACATTTTTCTGCATATTTGTTTGTAAGTCTTGTATTTTAGTACCAGGGCTATTCATGAGGGTATTACTGCATTGATTATAGTTTGCCTTCTTGGTTATTGCAATATATTTCTGCTAACTTATATAAGGTTCAGTGTCAAGCCTTGGATTGGCTTTGGTTTCAAAATAAGGTAAGTATCTATGTATAATATAAAAAACAGAGGACACCTTTTGGTATCCCAGCAAACTTGGATTATAGATATTTATGTTCAAAATTACAACACTTTTAATAAAAAAGGGAAATGATAAAAAGAAGGTAACTTTTGTGCAGAGAAAATCAAGGGCAATTGGTAGTAGCAGGATGTGGTAAAGAAAGAAAATAAAAGATGTATAAATTCAGTGATCTTGAAAATGCTATGCTTATATACATTATGGACAAGACACCTGATTCTGCCTTTCTGGCACATCCAAAACTCCCATCAAAATCAATCTCACAGACAGTTTCTTTTTTGTCCTTTCTCTTTCACTGGTGTAAAGCCACATAATTCCACTGAGATAAATGAGCTATTCTAAAATTTATGGTAGTGACTATTAAAATCTAGACTAATGTTAGATCTGGGTGCACAAAGGTTTACAGCAGCGGGTCACAAACACATTTTAGTGATTTTGTTTGTTTTATGATTCCAGCAAATAAGAAGCTCAACAAAGAAATAATTCTAAAATACAGTAATAATTTCAAGTGGCTCCACAAGCAGTTTTTAATTGAACAACAGCCAGGATGCAGAACCAAATCTGCCCCTCAGTCTGATTTATCCTGCGACATATTGAATTGTTACAACACTGAGGAGCACCCAGAGGTTTCCATGGAGACAGGGAATTTCAATGGTACACACTACAAAAGAAGGTAGTTTTTCCTCCTTTTTTCCCCTAGAGAAATGGAAACAGGAACTGGCTTCACACCCAGTGATGAGAAATTAAAAAGAGTGAAACAAAATTTCAGATGGTCTTCTACAAATCTAATTTATTCTTATAATATATGATTTTTGAAGCAATATTAACTTTTGAGAGAGAAAACAGTTATTTAAAGTATCCTTATGTGATATTTGTCAATAGGAAACAGACGTTATTCATTAATAAATGAAAACCAATTCATGTAATATTCAAATTCAAATTGCAGGAAAACCTAATTAATTTGAAATGCAGGGAACCAAATAATACTGACTTTGAAATAAATGAGCTTGAATTATCCCAAGTATTGTGCATACATATGGATTTAGTTCATCCACATGCAGACCTTACTAACTGATAAGAACAAAGTGAGGCGTTATCCCAGTGACTAATTAAGCTGCTTTTATGGTATATAGCACAAGGAGTTTCTAATGCAGAAAAGCAGAAATAATCTAAGGGCCCTTTCTCCTCTGGTTAGGTCAATCTAGTGCTGAACTGTCCTGCCACCCACTCCCTCCCACGGATCCACCATCCCCCGATACCGTGAAGTTACTCCCAGTTCCACCAAACTGCTCACCAACCCCTGATCACACCAAAGTGTCCCCAATTCCACCAGCCCCACTGTGCCAAACTGCCTCCAGTATTGCACCAAACTGCTCCTGATCCCACCAACACCTGATCCTACCATACTGTTTCCAAGGGTTTCTGGTCCAAGAAACCAGAAAATTGCTTCAAATTTCAAAGCAGCCATATTTCAAATTATTCATATTACAAAGTACACAAAAACTTATCCTTTTGGCTGGGGAATGACAATAGCTTCAAAGCATCCAATACTTTGAATGATCCAATACTGAACTAATGAGGTTTTCCTGTAAAGCCAACAGAGCAAATTCTCTTTTTCAGGATAGTTCAAAGGGTCATGGCCATATATTTAATAAAATATTGTAACACAACAAAATATGTAGTTCTAATTAAATTATTAGATATCAAGAATCTACTGTAAAGAAAAAGGATTTTAGGTGGACAATGAACAAGGGCTTTTAAGTTAATTTTAGGAATCTGGAACTTCAGATACTCCGTGTCTCAAGTTTCCTGTAGTGGCCAGTAAGATCTTGGGAAAACTTTATAGATTTTTTGGTATGAGATTTACTTCCAAATGGGCAAAAGACGTGTCTAACACTGAAAACTTTAAGTGACTGATGCAAAAAGCTGTTTTATGTCAATTTTAAGGCTTCTTCTCTCAAATATCTCAGTCTATAGGTCTGTAACATTACTCAAGGTATTACAGCAGTGCAACCAACTACAGAATTCACACCAAAATATACTTCTTTTAAACAGCAAGGAAAAGGTGGGATGGAGCTGACAGAGGGTTCTTGCTCACATTTTAATATATGTAGCAGGGAGTCCTGTTCTGTTGTACTCCAAAAGTTCTATAAAGGGCTGTGGGAAAGGGATTTCTCCTTTGGATATCCTAACATGCCCAGAGGAGAGACTTTCCTGCAGAAGCTCTAACGGGTGAGAGAGTGGGAGTTCTGATAATATTGTGAACAGACATCATAAACACAGCAAGGCTGCTTTACACTACTTGGGGATGTAGACCACATGATCACATCCCTCTTCTCAGGGTGTGTGAAGTCACACTTTCTCCTTAAAATGTTGGATACACACATGCAGCATCTTGTAATATACCCTACTAGTATATGTATTGCTGCCAGAGAATATTAGTCATCTATATGGAAATTAAACAGTAAGCAATGGTTTCACAACGTATTAAAATGAATTATGATGAAATAGTGAAAAACTGTTTGGATTTACAAGCTAATTTAGCAGCTCAGATGTCTACCCAGTTAACTGCTTCATCACTTGCACTTGCCGAATCCTGTGCACAGCTAACTGTATAGTGAAATGTCTCATTCACTAAACAGACAAGGTTTTTTGGGTAAATATGACATCTTTTATTAGACCAACTCATTCACTAAACTGTATTTTAAAAGATTATTAGTTGAAAAGCAAATATATAGCACACAGCTGTTGATTATAAGTTAGATACTAGTCCTCACCTGGCCACACTGGGAAGTAAGAAGGAATAAGGATTTCTACAGTATGATACATCAAAGGAGCATGCAAACTACAAGCAACTAATACTTCCCCCCACAAGCAAATGGTCTAGGAGGCAATAGAGAGTGAGCAATGCTATGTCAGTGTTGCACTGCATAGAGTATTACAGCTTGTTGGGTTCAAGGGGATGTATCCCTAAAAAGGATAAAGTGGCTTTTTAAGCAGGAGGGAAAGAGCAAAGCCATACCTCACAGTTCCTTGTTGGAGGTCCTGCAGAGTGTAAAACTATCTAAATGCTCAACATTGCCCTAAAATGAATAAAATACATGGAGTCAGATCCTCACATAAAAAAGAGAGAAGAAAACTAGGCGCTTAAGAATCAGTTAGTAAAGATATACTGAAGAGCTATGATCATAAAAATAGTATGCTTATTTAAGAATGAGGAAAATTTGCAAAATATTAAACATAGCTGAAATTTATTTAAAAAAAATGTGGCCTGATGGACATTTTATTCCATTATTTAAGAAACAGAATGTGATCACATACCCTTCAACAGACTCAAAGCACCCCTCAGAAAATGTCAGTTCTTAATTTTCATTTTATTTTCTTACTACAGAAAAATAGAGCAATTCTTCTGTTGCAAAGAGCTCAGACAGACCAAAATAAGCCAGAATGTTTTAACACTTATATATTCCTACTTGAAACAGCTGGGTTTATCTTGTGAATCATGTCTGCACACCTAACAATGCTAACATTGCGTAGCACTCCATAGCAAACCTGAAAGTATCTCAAGTCCCCCCAGGGTGCCATGGCATCCTGGTTGAGAATCACTGCCCTACAGTGACAAATTGATTTAACAAAGTGATACAAGCTAGTTCCAGATTTATAACCACCACCAACTCAGGGTTGAAGCAAAATGCTTACTTCTATACATGAATCAGATTCGATTTCCCACATCTATTGCATTATTAATCCTCCTTTATTTTTATCTCCAGTCCAGAATCTGTACTGTAAATAAACTCATAAGCAGGAAGGTCACTTGCAATAGTTGTGCAAACTCTCAGCAACTGGACAGAGCTAGGATTGGACAGTTTACTCCTCACTATTGACTCAGCATATCCTTGGCCTATTATATTGTGCATTGTGGAAAGATGGACTTACCCTCCCTCAGTCCCTTTGCCAGGCCACAGCACCAGAGCCAAGTAGACTGTAGTACCCTAGAAGGCAGAAAAGCACTCTTTACAGCCACAAGAACTTAAATAAATTATTAGGAAAGTGACAACAGCTACTTTGCAAAAATGTCTCTTCCAAACAACTAAGATGGTATGGTCCTCAGTCCCAAAAATACATGACTAGGGCACCAAACTAGCTACTAGGTTTAGAAGTGAGAGAAGCTCCTAATGGCCACGTTTTTAAGAACTCAGGGTTGGACTTTTAACATCTCAATGCCCCAGAGAGGGGCCAGATTTTCAAAAGAACTGAGCTCCTATTTAGCATCTAAGGAGAGCCAGATGTTTAGAAGCGCTTTAGAAGCGCTTTAGAAGGCTCTGCATACAGAGTGCAACCAATATACTGTGCTCTTTAGAAAACTGCACTACAAATTTAGTAGTGTTAAACAGGAGCTGAGCTTTTCTAATAATCTGACTCACAGTTTCTTCCTGTTGTGGGGTTTTTCTTTGTTTGTTTGTAATAAATCTGTCCACAGTTGGATCTTCTCCTTCCCCATTAGAGTTGTGAAGAGTAAGAGAATTACTGCAAACCTATTTAACATTTCTATTCCTCTGCAAAACTCCAAAAAAAGGAGGGAGGCAGGCCAAGAACAGGGACAAAACATTCATATGAATTTTCCCCATCTCCAAGTGTCTCTACTACTCCCAGCTATGTTTTGGTTTTTATTCCTAAAATCCAACTACCCTGGTTCCTGAACAGGCCACTCAATATGCAGTTTATTGCAGTTCCTGTGGCACATCAGTTCCATGTATTAGATAGGCCCCATTAAACTTAATAGGAGTTCTGCATGCAGGACTGTTAGGTTTCTTCCTGTCTCACTGAACACACTTAAGCTAAATGAGAAGCAACTTCTGCTGGGTGTAAACCACCATCTAAGGTGAACTACTGCTAATACAGCTTTACAGATGTGAAGGCCAGTGGGAAGTATTGTCATCATCTGATCTGACCTCCTGCATCACACAGACTATAGACTGCCTGTATCTTTTAGTTCAGCAATTTGTTGTTGGGTTGGAGCAGATCTTTAAAAAAAAAAAAAGAACCACGCATCTACTCCTGATTCAAAGAGCCCAAGTGATGGAGAATTTACCACATCCAGTGATTGATTATCCTTGCTATTAAAAACGACCAAATAATAATGCATCTGTGAATGCTGCTTCTACCCAAGAACCCTAAAGTGCTTTACAAACAGTAATGAAATTGGTCTCAGCGTGTCCCTGCTAGGTAGGGTGAGTATCATGAACCCAATTTTGCTGAGGCACAGAGAAGTTAAGGTCCAAGTTTTCGTAGGGGTGACTTGATTTCGGATCCTCGCCCCCAGCAGAGCCAAAAGCGCTGCGCGCGCCTCCCCAACATGCTGCCGGGCGGCTGGGCGCTGGCTCCTACCCCGTGCTCCGGAGAGAGCCGCATCCGCATCCCCATCCCCGCCGCTGGTGCCGGGAGGAGGCAGAGAGTGTTCCGGGGCTGCCTGGCAGTGCGGGTTTTAAGGACAGGTTCCCAGCGGCTCCGCCACGCGAGGGGGAGGCGCCGGAGGCATGACCGCTAGTTACCTCTGTGCCGCAGCGGCCGCGCGATGCCGCAGCCCGGCCCCGACAGCGGGCAGGACCCACCGCCCACCCGCCCGCACACTCACCGCGCGGAGCCCGCTGCAGTCCCGGGGGTCGCATCCCCGGCGGGCCGGCTCCTGC